TTGATTCCAACTATCCTTAACATAAATTACAATAGAAAATAGTTTATAGAAATCGTTTCATTATGCTTTTCATACACTCTAAAATCCATTAAAAACCGACAAACTGCTATGCTTTTTAAGTACTTTCTTTATCGGTAATTTAAACATAGAATATAAAGAATTACAGAAAGTATCCTTTAATTTTTTTAGCATGAAAAAAAATAATCTGCAATTAATGCAATAAAAATTGTACCAGATTCAAGAAGTTCGAAATATTTCAGAAGACAGTGGAATAAAAGAATAAATTAGGTGTATTTCAATATTATACACGTAACTTCGAAATTTCTATTGAACCAACAATTTTAACTAGTCTGATGATAAATGAGTTTACACATCATAAATCGATTCATTTCAATTTTCGTTATGCCATTCACAATTCATGACTAAACATCTCTAATTATCGTGATACGTTTGAATTTTCGTTTCATCTATTCTGAATTGAAATTAGTTACATAAGCACAGTTCAAAATTAGAAACAGAATTATTAACTTTATAATCTCTTAAAAATTAATAAAAATTTGTATTTTTGCAAAACGTGCACTTCATATTTGATTATTATCATTTTTCATAGATACATTCGTTTATCCAAGATTTTTCTATATTTTTCGAAAATTATTAATTTTGTAATCTCCTGAAAATTGCTAAAAATTTTACACATTTTACAATCGTTACACGTTACATACGCTTCATATTTAATTATTATCATTTTTCATAGATACATTCGTTTATCCAAAAATTTTGTAAATTTCCCAAAAAATTTGCTTTAATTTAAAAACAAAAAACACGTTAATTTTGCTCTTATGGTCAAAAATTCACAAAATCCTGTTCATCACTCAAACTTACACTCGTACAAATTGTCGAATCAGTTCGTCATCACGCCTAGAGAAGCTGCAAATTAAGTTTCGCTCGCAAACACAACTCGCGATGTGCAAAATATTCGATCAAAGTTTCCACGATTATCCATAGATTTGTGAATACAAAATAAAAACGGTAAAATTATGCAGGAATCGACACTGTATCTCCATTTGAAATTCGTAACGACAGATGCGTGTATGTAGTTATTCCTTATTATTGCAGGTCGCGTAGCCATTACGCGTTGTTTCTGCATTGTGAGATACACGGGAAATTTGCACAGGTGTATCGTATTTATCATCGAGAGTTTCGCCTATTGCCATAACTCTCACCGTCATAGCGCGACATCATTTTTCTTCTTCTTTCATCTGCTGTGTCAAGAACCGTGGACGCGATAAACTCGTAAAAATTCTTCATTACTGCTGCTTATATAATACTCACGAGCATGAAGGTCGTTCGTTGCAACGTTTATGCTTCTGTTTCGCACGATCGTTAATCATAATAATTCCCAAACGGTTCGATCTTCCTTTTCTCTCTACTTACATACACTACTGGCCCAAAAGATTGGAATCACTTCCCACTTTTCATCGATATTAAATCTGCTGCTAATTTTTGATAGATTTGAAGTTTATCTGAATTCTACATTTATCAATTTATCTCGTATCAATCGATTCGAACGATAAAAGATTCTCAAAGTCGCTGACTTTTTTCTCGAAATTTTTGTGCAAATTGCAATGCTCGGTGATTCGAAACTTTTCGCAGGTAGTGTACGTTCGTCGAAATTAATTAATCAATTAATTAGTGGCAAAATTTTTTGCACGTGCCCTTAACGACATCGATGAATTACTAAAATTAACTTTTTCCTTCATTTTGGATTTTTTGGAACTAATCTTCCAATAAGTGAAATTTTTCTTTTAATTAGTTCCTTTCGCTTTCAGTATTGCGTTGGCCTCTCTGTTACGGCAAAATTGTAAGTCGTAGCGTTACAAATAACGAGAAATTTATTTCTATATGCTCAGGAAATAATAGAAAAAAAATAAAGTTGATCATTTTTGGCAAAAATGTGAGAAATTAACCGTTTCGTTGCTGTTGGCAGCTGTAGGCGTTGAAAATTTGCTCAATTTAGACTGTTGGAGCCTTTTGGTGCATTTCCATACTTAATTTTATTCTTCGCGCATTTTTACCTTAATTTAACAAACCGAATTCTGAAACAAATTCTGCAGTCTTGGTTAAAAATTGACCGTTTGCTTCACGCCTGTTAGGTATTAAAGTCTGCCGCAGCGGAAGGGTTAAAATTCACCAATTCGCGAAAAGACAAAAATTTAGGAACGTTTCGTAAACAGAAAGCGAGATGATTTTTCTTTCGACGAGCGTTTGTAATGTACGACGTAAATGAATATTATTCTTGACGTGTTTGATATATGCAATGTAGTTCTTCAAATGGACAGGTAAAGCATGCATCGAGTGCTCGATAAATATGCAATAACTTGCATAATATCGTTCATCTGTTATGTGTTTTGTGCAACTTGGTTATTTCTTGAATATCTAATTTGAATCGAGTGTGTCCGAGTTGATTTAACGTTTTTTTACAATTTGTAATGTAGATCAAAGGGCACGTTAGTGGAATTTGGAGTTAATTTAAATAGTAAAAAGTGTTGGAGTGATAGTAGAACGTGTTTTTCTCTAGATAGTTCATTTATTGTGTTCTATGCAGCTTGGCCGTTCCTTAAGTGTCTGATTTGAATCGAGTGTGTTTGAGTTGATTTGATATTTTCAAGTTGGCAGATCATTAGTGGAACTTTGAAACCATTTTTTGTGTCGACAATTAAACGATCTTAGGAATAAACATCTTAAAGAAATTGTCGGTTTTCGTATTATCGTAAGTATTTATAAAATTGTACAAGATATGGAAAAAAAGTTAACTTCAAAAGTTAAATTACTAAAATTTCAGTTAACTTCAGTTTAAGTTCAGTTAAATTCGAAGTATTTGTGTCCATTATTTATTTGAAAAGCACTATTTTTTGAAAAAATTAAGAGCGATGGAGGTAAATTTTGAAAAAAATTAAGAATACTGTGTCAGAAAAAGTACTCCGACTCGGAGTAGGGTGGGCGTAAAATTAATTGAACGTTTCTACGTTTTCACAATAATACATTTTACTCAAAGTCTGTATCTACGTTATTCGCGCGTCGTTCGTAAAAGTATGCTTCGAGGGTGCCGTGAAGAGTGAGGACGCGTCGTCCTGCCAATCCCTGCCCACCCCTACGCGAACAGGCCCAGGGAAAGGCCCAAAGGGGCGGAGTCACCCCCACCGAGCGCGCTGGGCGTGGCTTCAAGATGCTCCCTTCACCGTCTTCCGGACGGATTTTCTCACAACTGAGAGAAATTTGTCAAAAAGCTAGAAATCCTGGGGACAAATTTTGAAAGCTACATTTCTACAAAATTTCAAATTCTTCTTTAATTATCGAATTACTGAACTACCCTTCTAAGAAAATTAACGTTAAGGCGTATCCTGTAGCCGGATTTATGGCAGCGAGTCGAGTGGTCGCCCTCACAGGCAAATATCGTTTCCTCAAAACACCACAAGTGTTTACTGCGTTGCCTGCGACACTGACCCTGCCATAAATCCTGGAGTCTCCGAAGGGAAAAATAGAAAAGTGGCCCACGACTTTTGCCAACGTCGATGGGCCACTTGACTTCAACGAAGTCTAGAAAAGCGGAGATTCCACAGGATTCCCATGCATCCGTCCACCGAACACTTTCTCCAGTCATTGTAATAACGCGCTAACGGCGAAACGGAGGGAGGTTGCGATGCACCGGAGTAAACTGATTGGTGATTTTAGAAAAGGAAAAATGGGAGTCTCCGTCGAGGGAAACCGCGGAGACTCCGGCAGAAAGACTTCGCACCTCGCAGAATAGACTCTGGACCTCGAAACAAGTCGGAACATAGACTACGCAAATAAAACTTAGTGTTTCAACCAAGAAACTGGTCCTTCGTAGCCTTGGTACATCAGTCGGCACACACCTGCAAAAACCGGCAACGCTTGGGCGATCGAAGGATCAGCGCAAGCCCCAACAATTCACTTTGTTTTCCGTTCAATTTTATTCTAATGTCTAATACAATTCGCAAATCTGTAAATGCAATGCACGACTTAACAATTGCATTGCTAAATGACAAACGTCGATCCGATTTCAGATCATTTGAGGATGATCTCTCGATGTGTACCAGCTTCGACGATGCGGACGCCGAGGACTCTGGGGACTACAGGCAACCGAAACGACCACACTGGGCAAACAAAGTACAGTTTGTCCTTGCTTGTATCAGTTACTCTGTTGGTCTCGGAAATGTTTGGAGATTTCCTTACCTATGCTACAAAAGCGGCGGTGGTAAGTATCTGCATTCTTATCTCGTAGTCTCATTTCTAAATATTTTTCAAAGGACGGCAAATTCTCCATTTCCACTGGATATTATGCAATTTCCAAATGAATAGCGATTACGTACAGATGTTAATATTACAATTTATCTTAATCTTGTAATGTAATACACAGAGTGTTTTTGAAAGGATAGCAAATCCTAGGTTTCTAGCGGATATTATGCAATAATATTATAAACGTTTCATTCTTAATTGTAAATGAAAATAATTGTAGAGAAAAGTTTTGCATGGTTTAACAAGCTGTATCATCCTCTAACTCAGCTTTTTACGAAAGTGCATCGGTGCAAAGTTGCAAAGTGCAATTACTCTCGATTTCTGAATGGTACTGTACGGTTTCTTTGCATGAGTCGATCCCCCGTGCTATTCTGAAGAAAAAAGTATTAAGGTACAATCGTGAGAAACTCAATACTTTTTGAAATATTTACCTCTTTTTCCAGCATCTGCAGTAAACGTTCGAATGTTTCTTTACACTTTTCATCACATTGCTCAGCTGTTTCTCTATATAATTTTAAAATATCTATTATTTCAAAAAGATTTCGTTAGGA